ATCACCACTCGCAGTTTAGAGGATCGCGGCACCTACATACAGTGAGTCTTCTGTTCAGGCGTTCAATCAGGCGGCCAAAAAGCTCGAGAACACAATTAAAAAAGTTTTAGGTCGAAAGTTAGACCAAGAGGCAGTGAGAAGATTTATATCATCCGCGCCGTGCGTACCCACCTTCTATTCGCTGGTCAAAACCCACAAAATTGTTGGTATTAATCGTTGGCAAAATTGTTGGTATTAATTAATTGAATTTAATGATAATCTCACCGATGGGGACATCAAAACTCGCCCCATCATCTCCTGCTGTGGTGGACCAGCAGATAAAATTAGCTGGTTATTGGTCAAGTTCTTCTCCCCACTCTTACGCCACATCATCTCACATTTAACAAACACCAGGGATTTCATTACATGCCTCAACCAATGCCATATTCCCGCCGATGCATGTTATGCCAGCTTTGATGCCGTTTCGCTCTACACCAACGTGAACACTCAAGATGCGATAGAAGCTTTGCTAACCCTCTGGAGGCAGTACAAGGGAGAAACATACACCTTTGGCCTAGACGAAAATGACCTGAGGGATTTACTCAGAGCAACGCTGGACAGCAACATATTCCGATTCAACGGAAGATTTTATGTCCAACATCGAGGTTTCGCCATGGGATCACGAATAGCACCACTGCTGGTCCATTGTGTACCTGGACTTCGTAGAACGAATGTCACTGACTAATGAGGTCGCTTCGTACCTAGTTTGATGCCCTGCCCTTTAGTTGCGTGAAATCATTAACGACGGGCGATCGTACCATAATAAGCCTACCCATGAAGGACTTGTGCTCTACGACTAGTATTTATTTGCTTGTGCATTTCATACTATCTGATGGAGAATCTTTTGCTGTACAAGACAATATGTTTGTTTCTTCGGAGATCAGCTTTAATTAATGTTTGAGTAGCGAAATGGATTGATGTGCTTAAAGTGACTGTTTCTTGATCCTCTCATTTTTGTAGTCAAACAAAAGTCGCTCACAGTCAGTCGCTAAAGCATTCCGTAGTGTATGGCCAGCCTATTTCGTGGTGCCTCTCATGATGGTTCCGAATGTATTGAAAACTCAAAAATTTCAATTTTTCGTGGTTGTTCAAAAACTCACACTGGACGCCATTTCAGTTCCACCATGGTGCAAGGCCTAGTTGTGAGGTCCTTGACCAATCTTAAGCAGTTCCAGAAGATTATGTCCCCTAAGTGAGCACTTCGCAAGCTTTGAACTGTTTTCGCTGCCTCAGCACCTTAATTGAGAGCAACCAATGCATGCCTTCAATGCTCAACGACTTTGCAAGTCGCTAATCACGCATTCGCCATGGCTTCTACACTGCTTCAGTTCACTCTTTCTCTTTAAATATTGTTCATGGTCTTTCCCAAATTACTATAGCACCATGTAAACGAATACCAGCACCAGCTTTAAAAAAACAAATGAAAAAAGATTATGAAAGTAAGTCATGCCAATGCATGTTCGAAAAGCTCTACCGAAACGGAGAAAATTACCACTAGATAGGACAGTACTCCAAGCGAGTGCCTAGATATGATTTGCTTATTTTCTACCAGCTTGGCTGACGCGCACTACTGCGCGCATGGTTCAACCTATGGTACTCCTTACTGACAGGACTTCTGTGCTAACCACTAACACTTGGCTTAATTCCCATGCTTCGAAATACGGCCCATTTCATCATTTTTGCACCTTTTCAATGAACAATGTCTGGTGCTTATCACATTTCTAACCCGCCATTCGTTGGAAATAGGACAGCTTAGTGGTTGAAAGAGTTTCGATGGTAACAATATCGAAATCGTAGTGAATGCCCTTACATCCTAGTACTTCCGTTGAGCAGCTTTCACTTATCCGTCTGCTGGTGGCTCTTATCATCTCTCACTGACAAACATCTCGGCCTCATTTTGGGTGAAACTCCAGAGTTCGCGCGACGAATCGTTTCAACCACTAAAACTAACCAGAGACAAAGCCTGAACAGGGTCAGCCCGGCCATTTCCAATGAGGTGCGCTTCACGTTGTACGAGTCTTGGAGCGAGTGAACACCCGAATCTATATCTCAGGGAATTTGTCGGAACGACTCTCTGAACGGAGTTATGGAGGGTTTCATCCCCGCGTGGTTGTTTCACATGCTATCGCGAGGAAACATGGAAGCGTCTTTATACACAAAGAATGGAGTCACAAAGATAACGTGGCAGTGTGAGCGCGACGGGGTAGGGAGCCGGTTATTCAGGGCAAAATGTGTGTAGGATAGCGGATTCCGCGGGCAGCGTCCGTTTTTGCATTTGTCCACAAGAACATGGCCGACAAAGCTTCTAACATCTCTGCTCGCCTGCACTATACTGTAAGGAAACTTGGACCAGTTTTTTAACGAAACTGTGGACCCATTATGGCCTGAAAAGAGTGCTCGCGCTTGTCCCCCCCCGTAGCACATGACACACGCGTTTTTGCAATGAAGATCCATTCATATCCGCATCAGCCGGTCCGTTAAATTTACCCCTGGGGAACGTTTCTAGCGATTGATATTATCTGACCCTAACTTGCGAAAGATGTTGAGTTATTCCATTGGTAATTAAACAGTCAGGTTGAGGAGCTCACCTACCCGCTGTATGGTCTCGGAATGCGGATATCCGTCCGATAGTCAGAAAATTTGATGAAACGTCACAATAAGTGAGCCAGCTGCTGTTGCTTGCGAAAAGACATGACTGAAGAGTTATTTCAGTTCGAAGACCAGTCATCACCAGTATGCTAGTCATAGTATCGCTGTTAGCTATCAGTCAGCCATGACTATCCATACCCCATTTTTTCGAAGTTGAGTCAGAACCTCAGATTTCGCTAAGGTGACGTCTCTGGGGTTATTTGACCCCTGAACACGAATATGATAGCTATTCTGCACGAGAGCGCTGTGAGTCGGCACATGTGAGAAACGCTCTTCGGCGCTACGCGCCGTACGAAGAACCAGTGAAGAAAACTCCTCATAACTCGCTTAGATGAATCGTTCCGCAAATTTTGAAGATAGTTTCGAGTTTACCGTGTCAAGGTGAGTACAATGATGTGCATCTCATTGCATATGGCCGGGCTGTCCTGTTGACCTTTTCCTTGGTAAGGGATTTCGCTAAGGGCTGGAAACAACTTGGCTCACTGAGCCTTTGCCCTTTGGTTCTTTGGCAACGGTGGTCAACTTTACTCGCAAGCAGAGTAAGGATGCGATAGATACTGACTCTTAAGCCTTGTCGGACACTATCAGAATTTATCTACCACCACCAAAATTTCCCACCATGCTCCCTAACCACCTGCTGGAAGCAGTTCCCCAGTGATATTACAACCCGTGCTATGGAATCTCTGGCAGCTTCCTTTCCGAAGTGGCTCCCTATCGTGTCTTATCAGCTGTTATCACTTCCTGCCACCCACCAATAATGTTTTCATCTTGCCCCCTATCTTAATCTTGGAACTAATGTTCCTGGCCATACGCTGTGATGTGCATGTTTGTTAAGTGATCACCCTCCTTTGTGAGCCCGCTTTCTGTTCTTATATCCGCGTATCAACTTCTGCACCCACTATAAGGTTCCCATCCTGCACCCCTATCTTTACCTTTCTTGAGAATTAATGTTCTTGCCTTCGCTGGTGACGCAATGTTATTTCGAAGTTGATGGCTTCCTTCATTTGTGCAAAGCCCCTTATGGTATCTTATCAGCTGTCATCACTTCCTGCCACCTACCAATAATGTTTCCATCCTGTCCCCTATCTCACTTCTTGGAATCAACGTCCTACCGTCGCTGTGACACTCGTTATGAATTTGGTGACCTTCCCTTCTAAGACCCCTCATGCTATCTTATCAGCTGTTATCACTTTCTGCCACCCACCAATAATGTTCCCATCCTGCCTCCTATCTTACCTCTCGGAACCTACGTCCCGTCCTCGCTGTGACCCGCTCTATGAAGTTGGTGACCCTCCCCTTCTAAGCCCCGGTATGGTATCTTATCAGCTCTTATCACTTCCTGCCACCCACCAATAATGTTCCTGCCCGACCCCCTACATCACTTATGAATTTGCCGCGCTTGCAGACGCTGTCGTTTTTGGAGCAAGTTATGTTTCACACACACACACACACACACACACACACACACACACACACACACACACACACACACCAACAGACAAACTCAGCGGATTATATATAGTATAGGATTTATATCACTGCACCTTTTCTATGAAATAAATTGAACGGTTTTCTTGCTCACACATTGTTGCTCTCTCTTGGGTAAGCCTAACAACGAGAGGTCAGCAGTCAGTTGAGCGAGATCTCTCCCTCCACTCAATGGCAGTCTCCCAAGAACTCCTCTCGCACCTCGGGGAGACGAGGTGCGAGGCGATTCTTCATTGGCCTAACTAATGGACCACACACCCGAAAATGTAGGGCCAAGCATAATCCCTGCGCCCCTGCTGTGAAATAGTGCGCACCTTCTGCGCTTTGCCACGCCTACATTTCTTCGCCCAGTTTCTCTCATTTGTGTGACTCATCAGTTGTGAAATGTCTAACTCATTTTCTATATAAACGCCCGCCATGTTCACGCTTAGGTGTTCACCTACGCCCTCTTAGTAGACTGTAGTTTGATACTAAAGGTTTTTTCTACTAAAAGCGGTTTTATCAGTTGTACCCTTTAGGAGAGTTCTGAACGGACTCGACAGATCAAACGTATGTTGTACTTTTCTTTGCTTTCATTTTTGTTGTGGTTTTGTGCATGCTTGTGTCGTACCCTGAGCTCATGGTGGAGTTTCCAGTAGAGTAGGTCTCTTCTCCATTGTGTTTTGTGCTGTCTAGTTCCCCATCGATGCTAATATTTACCTGATAACAGCATGCATTTCTACTTTTCAGTGGTGCATTTGATTAAAGAAATTCTTTTTTAGGACCCGTGCTTTCCGAGCACGACCTCGTCACAGTAACCGAAACTGGGGCAAGGCGATAGCGCTATGTCTCTCGACAGTAAGTTCCAAAAGTCTTAACTTCTGTATCTGCTTTAAGCTTATGCCTTTTTAGAGCATTTGTTCGAGCTGAAATTTGCTGCAAAGCAATTAGAGAAAAGCGCCCAGCGATGTGAGAAACAGGAGAAAGTCGAAAAGGACAAATTCACAGCGGCAATAAAGGTCTGTTGAGTCTAAAGCTATGTTCATATTCAGCGGACATTAATTTGTTGTGTGGCGTGATTTTGTCGCCATTACCTTGCTATAACACGTCGTGCGACATGTTTTCCAAATGTGACAACTCGTCCGGATCATCAAACGGAGGGACATTGCACGTTGCTGATGGCCTTTGTCAGCCATAATGCTACGGATTTCATCCTTATTGGTGTTAATTAACACACTGGCGGCAGCAGCATTCTGTTTATTTTTAAAGAGACCGTCCTAATGCTAGGAGGCTCTTAGATCAAATCAATTCCTAAAGGGGTAGAACCCAAGAATATATTACGGTTTCTTGGTTTCAATAACTTCCAGCATAAACCAGAAATTTTTATGAACGTTTTTCACCGTGATGCACGCGGAAACTGAGAGCAAGGAAAAAGACATTTTTCTGCTCTATAGTCTATGAATGGGATTCGAGCGAGACCTCCAGTGGTCAGAAGTTATACCAGTGCAATAGCTAATTGGTCGTGAAGTATCAGCTTTACATCTCCAAAAATAAATTTCTTTCACCTTTAAGCGCTTCCGTTTACGAACATGATTGAATACTCACAAGGAAACAACTGCATGGATTGAAGTCCGCAGTTGTTTCCTTGTGAGGCACTGGGTGGGTGTTGAATGTCACACAAAAATCCTACCAGTGCCATACCAACATTGCGATGCAATTGTCGCCAGGGTTAATTCTGTATTTGATTCTAGTTACTTTCGAACATACATCTCAGCGTCCTCATCGAGGATACACAGATTTATCAAGGGTTAGCGTGGCTGGACGCTAAGGCTTCGATGAGCTAATCATCGTTCGTTCGTTGGGTCATTTCGTTTAGGAGTTTGTGTTGTACAGTTGCCTCTCTGGAATTGTATTAGGATTGTATTACAGACTTATCAATTGCTGTTGGGCCGGACGGTCAACCTGGTTTGTATTTCGAGCAACTTAGTTGTTAGGAATTGTAATACCATGTATACTTGATTTCATTTAAGGTCTGACGAAGCTGTTAAGACAGCGAAAGCTCACCAATAAGGTCGTAGCTTGTTTTGTGAACGGTTTCATTATCAATTTTCGAAGAAGATCAATATGAATCATGAGGCTCAGGATAGCTCGATTTATAAAATCGTGTGATTGGTTGAATGGGAATTGGAAAGAGTGGAGCTCTGGGTGCTTGACACTGTATACCAATTTCAAAAGATGGCTCCGTGGCTGGTAACGAGGATGTTAAGTATCGTTTCGTGATCTGCTCAACGAGAAGGAGTCTCTTATGATCAGGTTGATTTCTGATTTACAGTGATCCGGACAAGTTGGTCCGCTTGCGACGGAAAGCGACGTTGTGGCGGCCTAAAACATGCACTTTTATCTGATATTTTAGTCTCACATATAATAAACATGTTGAGACCTGTCAATGCAGCTCAAGTTTTTCTAAAGAGGAAGTATTTCATTCGGAATTTGTAATGCTGCGGAATCGGAATTAGCGCAGACTGGGCAGAAATGCCGTAATTGCGCGGAATCACCTTTTCTTCGAAAATACCTCAGAGGGCGGAGCTGGATCACCTCCCGTCTAGTTTTGTCGTCGATTTTGTCATTTCTGCAGATTCTGCGTTTCTCCTTACTCCCTAGATTCGTCATTTCGTACGCTTAGAGCGCAGACAGTCTTAGTCGCCGCGGATAACTCTTGCAGAGCAAACTGTCTACGCGACTCCGACAACATACGCGCCAAGTATAATCTTTTGTTCGCGGAAAAGGTACAGAGGGGCGTCGATGCACCCCCTGCCCTCAAACACCTCCTGGAATTGTTAAATGAATTCCCACATTGGTTTAGCCCGAGCAATGTGCAGTATCGCCTGATGGGAAATATGTGGGGGTTTTTTTTGAGATGAGGAGTTACCATTGTGAACAAATTGCTTCGATTCCTTGATGTTGGTTTGTCATTAAGTCAATCATCATTCGTCGAAACATTTTCTAACCAGTATGCAAGTATTTTCCATTCCTTTCAGAAAGGCAATAGGGAAGTAGCACAAGTTCATGCAGAAAATGCTATACGGAAGAAGAATGAGGCGGTGAATTACATTCGTATGGCAGCTCGGATAGACGCAGTTGCTGCTCGAGTACAAACTGCCGCCACGCAGGTTCGCAAGCTTTTAAAGTTTCCTTTTTTTTGTTCCAGAAAGAGATTGATGAAGAGGCTTTTCATTCCTGTTGGTGGTTCCTGTTGAAGATTAAGGCCCACGAGACATGTTGATGTTTGGGTAGTTGCATGTGTAGGACATAGCGTGTAGAAATACACGATGGGAGCTGTATGTTACCATTCTCTTACGAGGGCTGTTTTTGGGGTTGTGATTTTTTTTGTCCTTGTATTGGGTCTCCCCTCTCAGGCGGCGCCCTTAAGCTTTGCGCATTTTGGTTGTGTCTCCTATTACGACGATCTCGTTTTCAGAAGCGAGTCACTAGTAGCATGAGTGGTGTTGTAAAGGCTATGGAAAGCGCGATGAAGACGATGAACCTCGAGAAGGTCAGGGAATTTCTTCGTTGCTTAGTTTCATTTTTGCATTTTTACGTCTACAATGTCCTTGACATTTTATTTTTATATTCTATGCAGCAGTGATGTGTCCTTTCAGGTTCAACAATTGATGGATCGTTTCGAAAGGGACTTCGAAAATCTTGACGTTCATACTGCAACGATGGAGCGCACCATGGACGGTACCACAGTGCTTAATGCACCCAAAGCTCAAGTGGATGCCCTTATCGCCGAAGCGGCTGACAAAGCTGGGTATGTGCTAATACTGCACGCTTTCATTTTCATATCACCCTCTAATGAGCACACACATGTCGTGAATTTTCTGATTTCTGAATAATATCACGCATCCCGAGGCGGTGGGGTGTAGTAGTATGTAGGTGGAACGCATGCCACGCGCTCGGTCTAGGTTCTGGATCGGCTCCTCCCAGGCAGCCAAGCCGTCTACCTTCAGGAGACGGTAAACTGGTACTGGAATCCTCTAGTAGGATAGGAACACTGACTTGTGTATCGGCTGGCCGTCGCAAGGCCACATTGCATCCATCGCAAATCACTACGATTCTGAATGGAGAACGAATGCGTGCCGCGTACCGAAAAGGGGTTGATCATTAGCAAAGACTTTATCCTTTTATTTTGTTTTCACAAGTACTTATTCAGTACATGTCCAGTGACACTGAAATGTACTGAATAAGTACAGAATCTGGTGCTGATGAACATTTCCCAGTGAGAAGGGAAGGGGGGGGGGGGAGGCAATCCCCTTATGTAAATGGTTCTCAGGATGAAAAATGGT